TCTTTTATTTTTGAAAAAAAAAAATTTTAGAACACTAAAGTTAAATTCCACGCGGACGATGTCGCGGGAACAGCTAGTAAAATAATAAAAAGACATATTTTTTATTCCTTGAAACAGTGTATATATACATATTATTATTCCCTTATTCTACGTGTTACCATCACATGGGCCGTATGCTTGTTTGCCACCTAGGTAAGTGGTATAAAAAAAATGTATGTTTATGATGTTAGAAAAGATTAGAATTAACAAATCTAAAGTATCTAGCGAGTGTTTGAAGGAGCAATAAATATGTCGGACACTTCTCGCCTTATAAATATCTACCGGCGAAAATAAACACATTGGTCATTGCATAATGATGGTAGACTCGAAGTGTCCGAGTCAGTGTTGCCAGATAACTTTGTGGTATTCCTCATTATATATAACTAGCTGTGTCTGCAACCACTGCCGTTTTAAACTGGGACCCTTGGGCACACAAGAATAAGGGGCCCTTTTGGAAAGTAAAAAAAAAGCTCATTAGGTATAAGAACAATAACATTACTGATTTGTGAAAAAAGTGTAGTGGGCCCGACAAAAATCTTTTGAGAATAAATGTGTGAGAAAAATTGTCAATCCTTCCGGGGCCCTCTGAGAATAGGGGCCCTGGCCACGGGCCCCGTGTGCCGTTATGGTAAAGATCTCCCGCAACTTAGTTCGTACAGTGCACGCAACGGAAGCCCTAAAATATGAATAATTTTCCCCGTTTCTTCAACATTCTTCACTGATGCTTCGCGTCTATTAGTCGTAGCATAATGTTATATAGCTTAAAGCCTTCCTCGAAAAATTGACTATCTAACACAAAAAGATTTTTTCAATTCGAACCAGTAGTTCCTGAGATTAGCGCGTTCAAACAAACAAACAAACTCTTCAGCTTTATAATATTAGTAGAGATTTGTAAAAATGTGAATGCAAGTTTTAAAAATAAACATTATTGTGAACGTTATAAAGCACATTTCAAATTGCAAAAAGGATTGTCATCGTCACATTTTGTGTACAATAATAAAAAAAAGTAAAAGAAAAAAAAAACGAGCACCTTGCTTTATAAGGTGTTTGGGTTGTAGAGCGCGATGGCACGATTACGCAGTTTAGATGTCTTATAGTCCCTGAAATGGCAACGTATGAGTGAGAGGGACCACGTGACGAACTTTTTTTACATACTAGCTGTGCCCGTGGTTTCACCCGCGTCTAACAATCTATGTGTCATTATGATGCTTAGTTCAGTAGTTTTTATGTGAAATAGTAATAAATATCCATACCCACAAACCGTTAGTTTGTTAGGTTTTTAACCACGTTTTTAATATTATTAAGATTTGATTTTTGCACCACCACATATCTACACATATCACACTCACATTTGTCAATCATCATCCCCTCAAATTCTCCCGTATCGTTTCTTTCCAGGCTACTTGAATGTCAGCTGGCCTTTACAGCTTCTCTCAAAGATAGGAGGCGAGCACAAAAAACCCACGCGTCCACGGGCGCCTCCTGCCTGACGGATACGATTTTGGTCTGAAAAAAAAGGGTTCCCACAGCGTTACAAAATTCTTCCAAATTTGGGGGAAAATCCTCAAACTGGCAACACCGGTCCGAATTCACTTGGCGCGAAATTCTTGCAACTCAACACGTCCTACTTAATATTTTTTATAAGGTTCATGTATATCGTCATACTGCCGAAGAACTTACAATATTTACAGTTCTTATAAAATATTGGAAAAGTCGTGTTGGATATTTTTGGGTGTGGACAAACGCATTAGTGGCTTCTCCAAGACTTTTTTTTATCTAACTAGAATGACAAACTAACTGACGGGTAGGCCCACCTGATGGTAAGTGGTAACCGTCGTCTCAGACATGACCTCGTTATATAACGCAATTGATACTCATTCTTTGTAATTCTGGAGTTTTAAGAAATCATGTCTTCCTACGCTGAAATTTCACTACCCTATCTCACCCGCCAATCAAAGCACAGCTTACAAATAAATTGCCTTGTGGCTGCCTGAAATGGGTACACAGAGAAACCCATGTTGCCTGCTCTGCGGCTCACACTGGTCATCCGTACCCACCTAGGGGAGGGAAGGTTGGGCGAACCCTTTGCCCCGGCATCAACTCCGGGGGCAACAACCCCCGGGTAACTGGGTTGTAAGCCTCTTTTAGACGGGAATTAACATAATAAGAAAGGGATTGTTAGTAACGTAGACTGATGATCTTATTGCTAGCAATGTACCATGTCAGGTTGACGCTCGGTTCCCTGGAAACCATCGTGATAATTTTTTGGTGAATTTGTCACTATGGGTTAGTTAATATGACCTTATGCTCATTTTATCATCCTCCACTGGTGCCCCACCAACGTGAACCGTTAGCGCGGGCGGGTACACAATTCCATTATCATCCATAAATGTAACAACAAGAAATTTAATGAAATAAACTTAACATAACGTAGTGACATTCTTGGAGACAATTTATTTTATTTTATTTTTTTGGTTTTTAGTTTTTATTATTTTTTTCCGTTTTTACCTACTGTGTCTACTCTGTATTAATTATAAAATTATATTAGCCGAACGGATAACATAAAATACAGAGGCGATCTCTCTTCATAATAAAAAAATATAATTTTTATAAAATTATTATAATATTGTTTGCACCGCCAACAACTTATCTCTGCACAACTCATGGTTGACTGGTAGAAAATGCCATTAGGTGTTAAGTCCGCCATATGTACTTTTTACCTGTGTATGAATGCATTAAAGTTATTGAAATAAAAAAATATATATCAATTGACTAATTTCTTGAGTAGAAAAACTTATAACTGGCTCTACGCACTAAATCATATAGTCTGCACATACTTTTATTACTATTCTGCGTGTTTGCAATAAATAAATAACACATAAATCATTTATAGAGCATAGAACAAGAATATAAGACGACTAGAATAGAAAACATAGATAAATAACGAAACAAATGTCATGTTGACAGGAGGGCATTTATTTTTGGCGCGAAAGAACGGTCGTCGACTCTCTTACCCACTGACCTTTTGCCAGACAAAACAACAGACATATAGGCGTCCCTTTCTATCTCGCAGTCGTCAGGTTATGTAATCCCGTTCTGATTCATTAGCCGAAATAGAGTGTAGTGCAATTTTACGGAGCGTGAATAGTCGAGGGTGCATGACATGTTCCACTTTCGCGCCTTTACTCGCCATTGTTAATATTCTTGTTTATTTTCTGTTATACATTACTATTTTTCTGAACATACTTCAATGCTTTAATCATACTCATGAATGAGATTTCTTTAATAGATAATAATGGAATGGAACTTGGACCTGTTTTGGCAATAGTTATGTAATAATATAACTTTTTTTTTCGGACTACTCTAATGCTGTTGGCCGCACCTTTACAGCTTCACCAGACGATAGGGGGCGAGTGCAGATGGCACACCAAACCCGTGGAAGGACTTATGGAGCCGCTGAAGGCCAACTCCCGCCTGACGGTTACGACTTTAGTCTGAGGTCTCCGAAGGGGCTCAAAACTCGGCTTATACCGTCGAAATTTCGATCCCCCGTCAGAATCTGCATTACGACTTTGCGTTGCGTCTACTAGTACTCACGTAGTTTTGTAGCACACTACCAATAAAAAGTACAATTATTTCACTCACCTACACATACTACAATCTATACATATAAATAAAATTGGAGTGTCTGTTTGTAATATTGAAATAACCGTTCTTTACTACTTGCATATGAATATAAATACGGTACATACACCAAAATAACATTTTTTACAATTTTCGTCTGTCTATCTGTCTATCTGTTTGGTTCCGGCTAATCTTTGAAATGGCTGGGCCGATTTTGACGGGAGTTTTATTGGCAGGTAGCTGATGTAATAAGGAGTAACTTAGGCGACTTTTATTTTGGAAAAATAAAGCTAAATTCCACGCGGAGAATTCTCGAGTACAGCTTGAAAATAAATAAATGTTTTAGAAGAGTGTAGGGTAAGACTGATTTCTTGCTCCCACTACTTTTTTAGGAATTACAGAAAAGCAAAGAGATATTGAAATTCAAATTCAAATTCAAATTCAAAAATCATTTGTAATCCACCCATCCGATGTCGGTGTTGTCGCTGTAGTAGACAGCGGACTAACATTAATATTAATAAATAAAATACATTAACATAATCTAGAACATTCTCAAGGCCCACATTATGGTCATGTTTGGGGTCGACACGCGAAATTGCGTGCTGTGAGTTTGCGGTAATGTTTTATTTCAAAATAATAAAAACTATATGTATATTTGTGGAGGCTACTATTTGATATCGAATTTATTTCGACGGTTTCGTATTGGAGCGGAATTTTTTCATGGGAAATGGCAAATCTATGCATACAAATAAAATTGGAGTGTCTGTTTGTAATATTGAAATATCCATATTTTACTACATGCATATGAATATAAATAGGGCACATACACCAAAATAACATTTTTTACGATTTTTTGTCTGTCTGTCTGTTTGTTTGTTCCAGCTAATCTCTGAAATGGCTGGACCGATTTTGATGGGACTTTTATGGGCGGGAAGCTGATGTAATAAGCAGTAATTTAGGCTAGTTTTATTTCAGAAAAATAAAGTTACATTCCACGCGAACGAAGTCGCGGGTGCAGCTAGTAATAACATAATAATCTCAGGACAATTCCTCTAGTCCTAAGTTAAGCTAGCCACAGCTAGTGTTATGGACACTAGATAGCTGATACAAGTACATAGATAATTTTATTCGTATATACATACATATAATACATAGAAAATACCCAGAAAGATACAAACAATCATACTCATGAATACAAATGTTTGTGCCGTGCGAGGAATCAATCCGCGACCATCGGACGTAAAGCGGTGCGCTAAACCGCTAGACCACCGAGGTCGTCAAATAATGTATATAAAATACGAAACTTTAAAATAACTATTACATTTTTCTTGTTCCAGGAATGCCCGGAAGGTGTCGTTCAAGAGGAGTCTTTTAAGGACATCTACGCTAAGTTCTTCCCGCATGGCAGTATGTGATATATCCACTTATTTATATACTAGCCGTGCCTGCGGTTTCGCTTGCATGAGATTTATAGCCTATACGTTATTCTGATGTAAAACTTAAGAGCAAAATTTGCAAGACCATGATCCGGCCTGCTATTTTGTATGGATCAGAGTGCTGGCCCATAAAGGCGACGGATGAGAGACGACTGCATGCAACTGAAATGCGAATGTTGAGATGGATGTGTGGTGTGACAAGAATGGATAAGATAAACAATATACATTGATATGGATGAATGGATAAGATAAAGATTATACATTAGAGGAAGTATGAAAGTGGCGCCGGTGTCAGAGAGGTTGAAGAGTAATCGTCTATCGTGGTATGGACATGTAATGCGTAGGAATGAAGATCATATCCGAGAGATGAATGGAAGAGAAAAACATATTGCGCGGACCCCAAATAAATGGGATAAGGAAGAAGCAGTTGATGATGATGATGTTATTCTGATGTATAAGCTAGATTACTGTGTAGTTTCATCAAAATCCGTACAGTAGTTTTTGCGTGAAAGAGTAACAAACATACACCCATACACACAAACTTTCCAGTATATAATATTATTATGATTAAGATAAAAAAACCTATACAATTCACACAGCGTCATTTAGTTCAAAGCTAAGCCGAGATTGCGTTATGGCTTCTAGATAACTGATAGAGATACTTACATATATATATATTTTTTTAAATCTATACCTATTATATATAGAAAAGAGCCAGACCAATACAAACAATACTCTAGAAAAGATTGCTTTCAGCAATAAGGCCGCCTTCTTATAACTATACATGTTGTCCTTTAATATATTGTTTATGCCTTTTTATTTACTGTGTGTTACAAATAAAGTATATTCTATCGATGAATACAAAAGTACAGGAATCGAACCTGCGACCAGGGCGTTTTTCACCTATTAGAGGCCCTGAGCCCTGAATAATGGGTCCGTATGACCATAGTAATGAAGCACTATTTTGTTAGAATAGACAAAGTTCCTTCAAAACAAACCAGGCAAAAATATTTTTATAAAGTTATTCATTTATTTATTGACATCAAACTAAGCGAACCTTACAGCTTCCCAATATGCTCACTTAGGAGAAATTATATTATACAAAAATATGAAATATTAATATTACAAGAAATATATATAAATAATTATAAAAAAATATATATTAAAACAATCTACAGTTTTATGTATTATTTAGGAAAATTGGGCGCTCGTATGGATATTGATGCTAATACCGTTTGGTTGCATTTTTCTCCTCTTAACACTTTTTTTTTATGGATGATAATGGAATGGAGCACCCGCCTGCGCTAATGGTTTACGCTGGCGGGGCACCAGTGAAGGATGATAAGATGAACATGGTGAAGTGATGATGAAGTCAGGTCAGTTAGCCCATCGTGACAAATTCACCAGGAATTTATAACGAAACAAATTAAAAATTCAAAAATCATTTATTCATGTAGGACATTTTAGCCGCTTATGAACGTCAAGTTTTTACATTATAATTTTTTACCTTACCGTCCAGTTCGGTATATAGATCCAATTGAGAAGATCTGGCAAGAAACTCAATTGAATTACATTTAAAAAATTATTTATATAGGTGTCTATGTCTAACATTAAATGAAAATCCCGAACATGAAAACTATTGCCATGCACGCTCGTCATTCAAGTAATCGTTTAGTGAGTAATAGGCCTTGCTCAGTAAATATGATTTAACAGATGTTTTGAATTTAAGGGTAATTTCAATATATCCTTTGGTATCTTATCGTAAATTTTTATACCTATTCCCATAAAAGACCTATTGACTTTTTCTAAACGATACTTGGGGACATATGTAATGAGAACTGAATTTAATGTTATTGAAATTATTTAGTGTCATAAAGAGGTATAAGACTTATCCACTATAAATGCGTGTATTTTTTTATTGATATAATTTACTTTTTACACACAATTAAAAATATATCATTCTGCATTCCTTCTCTATATAAAACTGTGCGATATTTAATACTCCAATTTTCGTAGAAACTGGTACAAAGTTTTTGCTTCACGTATAAATATGTAGATTATAATTTATTCAATTCTCATATAGGCGTGGCCAACACTTATAAACATAAGTGTTAATTACTAATTATTCTGTGGTACCTACAGAGTGAAAAATTTATGGAAACACCCCGGCGCTCGGCGCTTGTAAGAAATCACTAAACAATTGGTTATGTGCCAGCGTTAACTCATAACACTTTATATGATTTATTTAATAGTCGCGGTTAACAACACAATTTTATTGTACTCGTATTGTTTTAAAATGGAATTGAATTTAATAGTTGCTAAATATTTAAAACATAGTGATTACTTGCTCAGTGCGAATAGGTTTGACAGTTTAATAATGTAATGACCGCATAATCAAAGCGTTCAGAATTTTTAAACTTTTCACTTTTTTAAATTACCTTTGTTTTGCTACAATTTCGATTTTGTTTTTTTTTTTCGTTTAAGAAAAAAAGGTGTCATGACCATTTAGTTTATTTTTCTTTCATTAACAGTTTCTTCAGTGAATCTAATAAATACTATAAAAATAACTTATCTAACACATTTGTCTTTATTAACCAATTCTTCTTAGTTTATAGGCTTTAATAAATATATGTATTGCAATTATTAATAAAAACTCCATATGGCCCATAAGTAAAGATTCCAATTTTGAAAATGAAACGAAATGGATGAAAGTAGTTTGTAGGTTTCCATTTTCTGATTCTTATTTAGTTACTCAACCAGTTAGTCGTAAATTTAATATTTTCTCTATTATTAGTGCTAGTTGGTAATGTGTATTCACACACGTCAACTTAAAAAAGAAAATAACACTAAATTTATGTAAAAAAGCAACACGCAAGTTTCTCCCTCGGTCTGTTTGTGATGAGACAGCTTTCCGAATGAGCGGTAGATTGAAAAAAAAAATGTGATGACTATTAGAAAATGCTTCAATGTATGTTTATTTGAATAAATGATTTTCTATTCCATTCTGATTTTAAATAAAAAATATAGTTGAATTTCAAAATTGAATATATCCATTAAAACGTGAAATTAGATGTAAAACTTTGAAATATCTGACGGCAGAGATTTAACTTAACTTTTCCTGCAACTACTGAATCGTTGCAGGAAAATAACATACAGACTCGAAGACTGGGGGGAGTAAAAAATTATTAAATTAGGATGTAGGATGTAGTGGACGATTTTTTTTATCTCTCTTAATGTAGTAATATTGTGTTTTCAGATTCCGCGCTGTACGCACACTATGTTTTCAAAGCCTTCGACGTGAACTGCAGTGGAGCGATCAGCTTTAGGGTGAGTTAATAAATAACTTAATATTTAGTAGGAAGGCGCTGGACAGAGGAGCCTGGTGTCTTTTGGAGGAGGCCTGTCTTGGGACAAGCTGATTATCGTCAGCACAAAGGCTCTAAATAAATAAAAATTTATTTATTTTATTAATTGGATGTCTTCCGGACTGCGATGATGATGATATGATTTATTTATTTATTTACTGCCACCAATAGTTTTTATTTATTTTATAACTAACCGACTCTGCGAACTCCGTTGCGCCTCAGAATTGAGTAATATGTGAAAGGTTTTTTGAAGTTTAATTACGCAATGATTCTGAATAGCCCAAGAGCCCACGACGGTCAGACATATGTCTTATTAGTAAACTAGCTTTTGCCCGCGGCTACGCTCGCGTTAAGAAGTATTATTATAAGGTATAGTTTTTGCGGCTTTATAGTACTACATACTTCATAGAAACTTTCATCATCTATTTTATCCCCTTAGGGGTGGAATTTATCAAAATACTTTCTTAGGAGATGCCTACGTCATAACATCACGTCATAACATATACCTGTATGCCAAATTTCGGCCCGAATCGGCGCTGATAGATAGATCACTATGTCAGTCACCTTTGAGTTATATATATTTAGATATAGAGAACTATTAAACAGTGTTTCCTTAATTGCCAGACAGTTTTGTTGACCATTTTGCCTTCATACATGTTGCTTTGATATATGATTATATATGATTATCATAATAATCATATATGATTTCTATATAAACACTCATATTGACCCCTCCCTTCGATCCCCCGTCCAATTCAAACGGGGATCGAAATTACGACGGCCTGAGCCGAGGTTCGAACCCCTAGTGGTGCCCTCAGACTAAAGTCGTATCCGTCAGGCAGGAGTTGGCCTTCAGCCGCTCCATAAGTCCTTCCGCGGGTTTTGAGTGCCATCTGCACTCGCCCCCTATCGTCCGGTGAAGCTGTAAAGGCCAGCTGCGGCCAACAGCATTAGAGTAGTCCGAAAAAAAAACTCATATTGTTTTTATGCTGTTATGTGTGTACTGCATATATAAATAAAATATAACCCTGTACAATTAACACAGCGCCATCTAGTACTATGGTAAGCAGAGCTTGTGTTATAGGTACTAGACAATTCATATAAATACTTAAGATACTTTTTTTTGTAAATACATACATAATATACATAGAAAACACCCAGACCGATACAAACAATCATACTCATTAATATAAATGTTTGCACCGTACAAGGAATCGAACTCCCGACGAAAAGCGGCGTGCTAAACCGCTAGACCACCGAGGAGTCACAATATAACAAAGTATTATATTAGTTTGGGAAGCAATATAAAGTATGATATAGGTCGTAAATAAATTTGGAGCAGTGAATAAGAGAAGTTGTTATAGCTTTTGTACAAAAACAAAACCATTAAGCGAGGTATAGCAGTCCCCGGGAATTCTGACCCGGGTACTGCCATGCCCGGATTATCATTACATAGTATAAAACAAAGTCGCTGCCGTTGTCTGTCCCTATGCATGCTTAAATCTTTAAAACTGCGCACCGGATTTTGAAGCTGTTTTTTAATAGATAGAGTGATTCAAGAGGAAGGTACATATATAATACATGTACCTACAGCCGTGCGAAGCCGGGGCGAGTAACTAGTTTACAATAATAATATAAATCCTAACTCCTTACTTCCTTACTTTAACTCTGTCTGTCTGTCTGTCTCGCTTTCACGTCAAAACTACTGAACCGATTTAAATGAAATTTGGTACACTGATAGTTTAGACCCTGAGAAAGGACATAGGCTACTTTGTAATGCGAAAAAAGGGTTGTACGTGGTTGAAAGGGGGGATGAAAGATTGTATGGAAGAATCGTCGTTTTTGAAGCTAGAAGCTTGAAACTTATTTTTAAGGTTGATTGAATTGTATGGAATTTAGTATCGTCATTTTTGAAGCTAAAACAATTAAACTATTTTATTTGGCTTTTATTCGGTTAGGTCATTAAATATTTTTTTCATTATTTACGCGGACGAAGTCGCGGGTACAACTAGTCTGTAATAATAATAATAATCTCAGAACAATTCACACAGCGCCATCTGGGTAGGTACTAGATAACAGATATTTTTTTCGTAAATACTTGACTTACGAAGAGAATTCACGTAATTTTAATTATAAACTTTCGTTAATAGTTCAAACACATTTAAATAAATAAATATCTGGACAATTCACACAGCGCCATCTAGACCCAAGTTAAGCTAGCTAAAGCTTCTGTTATAGGTACTAGATATCTGATACAAATACATAGAAATATATTTCTTTTTTCGTAAATACGTACATACATATTATACATACAGACACTCACATTCATTTCATACACACAGAGAGGTTTCACGCATACATTATACAATTATACCTCACAAAAACATTTGTTAGATTTATTAAATACCAGTAAGTCCTCGGAGTGAGCCTGGAGATCTGTAGTAGGTACAGGTTTCGACTTAGTTCAGACTCCAGACTCTCACAAGGAACAGCTTGTAAGATTAAATACATACTTTTGTTACTTTATTCAATATTGTAAGTTTCCTTGTGAGCAGTAAATAAAGATTATTATTTTTTTCGTGTATCCGAAATTTCATATCCATAACGTGTCATAATGTATGATACCAATATAAAAAAATAATTTATTTCTAATGATGCAAGCCTCAAAAGTTCGAAGTTTAATTAATTTTTTATGTTTTGTTTTTTATTTAGGAAGGCAAAGGTAACTGTGTCCATACAGATATATTTGTTATGTTTGTATTGACTTACTATTAGCCTCTTTTCTGGTCTTTGTTCCTCTTTTAATAAAGAAGAGCAAAGACCAGTTTTCATACAGCTATAGTGCTAGATGCTAGTAGCATCTTTTTCATAATAAAGAATAGCAAAGACCAGTTTTTATACAGCTATAGTGCTGGAACTATTAGCATCTTTTTCATAATAAAGAATAGCAAAGACCAGGCTTCATACAGCTCTCATCTCCTCTCCTTAAGAGAGGAGATGAGAATTTTATTATTATTATTCTTATTAGTATACATAGAAAACAACTAGACCGATACAAACGATCCTCTCCGATCGATCCCCCGTCCAACTCAAACGGGGATCGATATTACGACGGCCTGAGCCGAGGTTCGAACCCCTAGCGGTGCCCTCAGACTAAAGTCGTATCCGTCAGGCGGGAGTTGGCCTTCAGCCGCTTCATAAGTCCTTCCTTTGGTTTGGAGTGCCATCTGCACTCGCCCCTTATTGTCCGGAGAAGCTGTAAAGGCCAGCTGCGGCCAACAGCATTGTAGAGTAGTCCGGAAAAAAACCGACACAAATAATCATACTCATGTGTACAGGACTCCTTACATTTGGGCCGCTGGCTGGTACGACTATTCCTTATTTTTAAATATTTATATTTTATATCGGTTGCTATGGTTTTGTTATTTATTCTCCTTTTTACTATTCCTTGTATTACTCTTGCTTTCATATAGTTTGTTACGACATATATTTTTATAATATAGTTTGTTACGACATATCCTTTTACATATTGCATCTTTAATTACCACCATCGTTGGCTGCACCGACCCCAGCGCCCTATACACAGTCCCACACACTCATGAATACAAATATTTGTGCCGTGCGAGGAATCGAACCCGCGGCCATCGGAAGTAAGGCGGTGTACTAAACCGCTAGACCACTGAGACCGTTTTAAATTATATATTAACTGTCAAATGTCCAAGAATGTAACGAGTTGGTTTAAACTGTTTTGGATACTAACCAAAACATGTTACGTTACTTTGCAGTTGAATTAACTTACATAGTTCATTATTTACGGCTAAAGTTTCACTTGTAGATAAAGTTATGTCTAGAAACGTAATGGGTTATTGTATTTCGATATTTTATATCGACTGCAATTTACTTTATATATTTACTACTCGCTACTCGCCCCGGCTTCGCGCGGTTGTACATGTATTATATATATAAACCTTTCTTTAGAATCACTTCATCTATTAAAAAACAGCTTCAAAATCCGTTGCGTAGTTTTAAAGATTTAAGCATACATAGAGACGGACAGCGACAGCGACTTTGTTTTATACTATGTAATGACTTGACTTAAAGAGTAATAAATAATAACCCTGGACAATTAACACAGCGCCATCTAGTACTATGGTAAGTAGAGCTTGTGTTATGTGTACTAGACAACTGATATAAATACTTACATATATTTTTTTAGATGAAATTTAACGCGCGTGAATCCACGAGCACTGCCTGTATGTAATGTACAAAATCTACTTCGGTACTAACTTCCGCTGAGTGAAAATCGTTGCATTGGACATTTTAATTAGTTGCAGAAACTTTGTCGATTCGTTAGTTCGCTTCGGTAGGTTCACTCTGTAGATAGGTATTAATAGTATTGGACCAATTTACTGCATCTACGCTAGCACTATAGCTGTATGAAACCTGATCTTTGCTATTCTTTATTATGAAAAAGATGCTAATAGTATCTAGCACTATATCTGTATGAAAACTGGTCTTTGCTCTTCTTTATTATGAAAAAGATGCTACTAGCATCTAGCACTATAGCTGTATGAAACCTGATCTTTGCTATTCTTTATTATGAAAAAGATGCTAATAGTATCTAGCACTATATCTGTATGAAAACTGGTCTTTGCTCTTCTTTATTAAAAGAGGAGCAAAGACCAGAAAAGAGGCTAATAGTCAATAAGCCAATACAAACATAACAAATATATCTGTATGGACACAGTTACCTTTGCCTTCCTAAATAAAAAACAAAACATAAAAAATTAATTAAACTTCGAACTTTTGAGGCTTGCATCATTAGAAATAAATTATTTTTTTATATTGGTATCATACATTATGACACGTTATGGATATGAAATTTCGGGTACGGATAGGTTTCGGATATAGGAATAGTTATTATACTGGATACGAATACGAATCTGGATATGAAATTATTTCGAATTATCCGTTAGTTTCGAATAATTTCGGGTATGGATATTAAATTTTTAAGGAATTTCTCTTGAATCACTATTATCTATTGCTGAAAACTGCTTTGTTTTTTTATGGATGATAATGTAATGGTGCACCCGCCTGCGCTAATGGTTTACGCTGGCGGGGCACCAGTGGCAGATGATAAGATGAGCATGAGGTCAGGTCAATTAGCCCATCGTGACAAATTCACCAAGAATTTATTACTATGGTTTCCAGGAGGAAACGCGTGGAGGTCAACCTAACATGGTATATAGCTAGCAATGTTGTCAACAGTCCACATTAACAACCTCCTTTTCCCCTATTCCAGGAGTTACTGGTGACCCTGTCGACTCTCCTTCGAGGTTCAGTATACGAGAGACTGCGATGGGCCTTCCGCCTGTATGATGTTGATGGAGATGGAGCTATCACCAGACAGGAGCTAGCTGAAGTGGTGGTGGCTGTTCACGAGCTGTTGGGCCGACGGGCGCCACCTGGATCGCCTGCTGCACGACTGGATGACGCGAAGGCGAATGAACAGGTCAGTTGAATATAGAAGAACTGACAGGGCAGAGGCAGAAAGAACAAGGAGGGGTAGAGGCAGAAAGGACAGGATGGATAGTGGCAGAAAGGACAGTCAGGGTTAGAGATGGAAGGGACAGGGAGATGGTGAGGCCGAACGGGCACGGAGAGGTAGAGGCAGAAAGGCGGGGTAGAGGAAGACAAAACAGTCGGGGTTAGAGGCGGAGAGGACAGGGAGGAGTAGAGGCAGAAAGGACAGGGTGGGGTAAAGGCGGAAAAGATAGGGGAGAGGTAGAGGGGGAAAAGACAGGGAGGGGTAGAAGTAGAAAGGACAGGGAGGGGTAGAGGCAGAAAGGACAGAGAGAGGTAAGGGAGAATGGACAGAGAAGGGCAGTAGTATAAAGGAGTGTTCCCACATGGGTTCCCCAATTAAGGGGCTAACTAGGGTATGTACCCTACTTACCCAGTTAGCTCTTAATTGGGGCATGAAACTAGGGTCACAGAAGAATAAGAAAGCGTTCCTGCTGAGTGGAATACTGAGGAGTTTTTAGTGGATAAGAATTAAAATCTGAATCTATTATGGATGAGTTTCTTTTGGCGTTTCTCTTATAACTTCTCTTATGGTTTTTTCGAGTTGCTTACTATTCATCAAGTATACTTTCACCACACTCCGATAGATTTTACTATGCATTATTTACTTTTAGCACACTCTGATACACTTTACTATAAATTAATTTGTTTATACTATTCATCAATCTAGTTTCACATTTTACTATTCAATAATTTATTTTTACCATAATTCACACTTTACTATTCATAAATTTGTTATATTCATGTAAGACCGTGATCACACAGGTGGACCGCGTGTTCAGGAAGCTGGATCTGAACCAAGACGGCGTGATCACCATCGAGGAGTTCCTGGAGTCGTGTTTGAAGGATGACGTCATCACACGTTCGCTTCAAATGTTCGATACGGCGCTATGACGTCAGACTGACACAGCGGAGACGCAGACAGCACCCAGGTACGTTCACCATATTTTTTATACTATGGTGGCAAACAAGCATACGGCCCAACTGATGGTAAACGGTTACCGTAGCCTATAGACTCCTGAAACATCAGGGTGTCACTTGCTCGTTGACGACCTTTAACATGTTAAAGACCGCACGCCCACCGGTGGGTCACTCCGCAACGAAAGTAAATTTACACGCTGGGACCGGGTGATCACCCATGGGCACTTACATTAAAATAAATCGAGGCGTTAAATAATGACTGCCTCAAATTATTGTACACTAAAAACATATTTAAAAAATAATATACATAATTAACAATAAAAAAATGGCGATGCTTATGTAAAAAATAAGATTTTTTAATGCGGTCTTCAAAGTTTTAAGAAACCTTACTAATAAACTACCTGCCGAAGATTTCTCGACGAGCCTACCGCATGGGCTTTTTCAAGAAGGGTATATTAGAAAGGGTAAGGGTACTTGAAAAACCCCATGCTGTAATCTCTCGAGAAATCTTTGGCACGTAGTTCATTTCACAATGTAAGTGTACGCGGGAGGAAGCATGTGGGGATGAATTCTCTGTCGATGGCGAGCGGTGAATTGGTAAAAGCTTCAGATAGTCTTCAGGGATGGTATGGATATACGACGACGGTACCGTAGTTCTGGTCATGGATATATGACGGTTGCCATTTATTTCTTTTTTTATTGGGTTGCTTGGGCTATAGTCAGGTGCATGGACCTATAGCACTGCGACCTACATAGATCTATTGTGCTCGCCTTTTTCAAAGTTTCGCTACATAGACCCGTCAGACAAGAATTGAAGAATATTCTTAGGAGCGATGGTTTTTATCTCCTCAGGAAAGAGTGTAAAATTTCCAAAGGAGATATTTCGTTTATGCATGAGTGTCTAACGCACCGCGGAGTTGGAACCTCAGCTCAGGCCGTCGTAATTTCGATCCCCGTTTGAATTTGACAGAGGATCGATCGGAGGGGATTCGATTATACGATAATAGTAATAATATTCCTGGGCAATTGACACAGCGTCAACAATTCAGACTAGATTCCATGATAAGCAGAGCTTGTGTTATAGGTACTAGACAACTGATATAAATACATAGATACTTTTTTTTGTGAATGCATATATAATATATACGATGACTGTTTATGTGTATTTATCACTTGTTCTCCATTACAGACGAAATAAAACATAACCTAAAAATGTTTTCAGGAGTGCAATAAAACGTGCGAGCCCGCCATATCGTGTTTCCCGCCATTACTGCCACTGTTCCCGGGCTCAATCTGGGTTCTTTCACGGCGTGGCGGCCGCGTGGCGTCTCCGCGCACAGGAGTACGCGCGGTACTTTGCTGCCTTCGAGAATTTCTACGTCGGTATCGTTCGCCCGAAGATCAAGAGCGTTCTGTTTTTCAATTTCTAGACGTTGTTCCCTTTCGCGTGTTTAGATTTAGCTAATCTATAATACGTACCATAGATTAAGCACGGTTCTCGGTTGGCTGTTTATATTATGTTCCTTTGCATACCAATATAGGATTTAAAAAATAGAATCAGTTACTTTAAAAAGACCGATTTTATTTCTTAATACAAGATCTTCGTTCAAGCGTAATTAAATTCACGAAATTAGGTAGATATACGGAAGGAAAAAAATCGACATTTCATTTTAAAATCTAAATTCAAATGTGTCTCTAGTTCGCTACATTAGCGCACGGTTCACGTCCTAAAATTACATAATACATTCTATTTTTAAACTTTTAAATATTTTCTCATTTATTGTAAATTAATTAGACTTAGAAATAAATTGTAGCCAGCATTAATTAGTAATTATTGACTTCGGCAATGCTCTTTCTTTTCAGTTAGGAAACCAAGTCAATTATAACTATATTTTTTTAATATTAATTTATGGTATTGAATTATTTTTATTTTCAGCCAGCCTGTCTATAGCGTGTTATTAAAATAGTAAAAAAAAAGTATTAAGTCAATAGTTATTTAATTTATTTTATTGTAGACAGTGTAGACCGTAGTAAGTTAAATAATAAAAATAAATAGGAATTGCCGTGAAAAAAAAACTTTATTCATTAATGCATAAAGTCTTATTATTAAAACAAAAAAAAAACAAAAACATTGTACCCACTTGACCCGCTATACCCACACACTCCGACCTCAAATGTGAGTTTAAAGGTAAAGTAAATAAGAATTAAATTACAATAACAGATGTTTTACCGAGTTTATATATTTAGAGTAATATATAGGTATAATATATCAATCAAATTGTACACGTGAAATTTACATAGATAATTAAATATTATCTATGACTGCCCGCATGAAATAGTATTAAGGTAAAATGTACAATACATTGTTAGTAGTAAAAGGTATACTATAATCTATGGACAGTATTCATGTAACTAATTGCCACATAAAAATAAAAAATCAATAAAAGAACTTTAAAAAAAAACTAAACAGACCTTGTGTTGTGGGCACTAGATAACATATATAATTTATTTTTACGCGGTTAAACCGCGGGCACAGCTAGTAAAAAACATAACATTTATGTCTTTGGATAAATTGTTTTTGGTTTAGCTACCTTTACTACTAATTCTGTATAGTAATGCATAGTTTTTCTCATTTATTTTAAAGTAATTATTAATCTGTAGAATATTACATAGATATCATTAGAATCAATGCATAGACTATTATTAACTAAAATGGCCATAGACAATATAGGTAAACGACATGCATTAAATCTTTTTTTATTGTAGCAATAAAGTTTAATTTAAAAAAAAATAATCAAATAGTCTGTAGATATTATAGGCAATATAGGCACGTCTTTTTTTCTGTCATATGACATTTTTTATTTGTTTACAGTGCAGGCAAAGGTTTGTAGATAAAGCATTGAATTTGACATTTGATCATTGACATTTCCCGCGTTTTTACAATATTGTGTTTTTTTTATTTTAAATAAAAAATAACAGGGTAAAAGAAACCGCTCCTATTAAATATAACTATAAAATGTCACAAACTTTTTCAAATGAGATGTGCGTTTTAATGAAATTTTTGACATGCTTACTAAAAAAAACAAAGTGGTATTTTTCGACAAAAAAAAACAATTTATTTGTACAGTTTTTTTGGCTCGTGTCCGGTTTTTATCATGTTTTTATAAAACATTTACACATATGCAAAACGCTTCGATGGGCATTTTTAAAAGACACATGTATTTTCTAATACTATATATTTCTTGTTATTATTATATTAATAATTTTATATATGTATATATAAGTGACCATCATTAAAATACGTTACATATTCAGGGGGTTTGACAAAATGTAATATTATGTGACAAGGGGTTGACAGGGGTTCTAAATTTTGTGACAACGCAGCTCAAAGTCTAATAATACCAATATAATAGTATAAAGACTAATAAATTACAATTATACCTAACTTCATTCTCATATAAGGTTGAAATTTTTATTGCCAACGAATTTACATGCGTATTACTGGTGTAAAACTGCGATGTGACAAAGGGTTCTAAATTTTGTGACAACACATCTCAAAATACGAAATTTGAACCACTAACAAATAAATTGAAAACAGTTGTAACTTCATTCTTATATAAGGTTGAAATTGTTTTGCCAACGAATTTACATGCGTATTACTGGTGTAAAACTACGATGTGACAAGGGGTTCTAAATTTTGTGACGTCATATCTCACAAAACCAATAGCGAATAAATAAAAAAAATCACTAACTTAATTCTTATATAAGGTTGAAATTGTCTACGAGTTTTCACGAACATTACTAGTGTAAAATTTCGATGTGACAAGGGATTGGCAGGAGTTCTAAATTTATTAAAAACATTTCTAACTTCATCCTTATATAAGGTCGAAATTGTTTTGTCAACTGTGAATTTCAAATATGTGACATCATACCAGGGAGACGGGACTGTCACAAATGTGACCAATTGTGACAAAGACAGGGCAAGGGGTCTAATTATGAAATTTATGTAACGTAATTTATAAACGGATTCTAACCTAAAATAATGCATTTTATATGTGTACTATGTAATAATGTTAATGTAATAACTGTTATGTTACATATTTCTAATGTTACTAATGTATTATATATTATTAAACTATATTAAAGAGAGCTCCGTAACCGTAACCGAAACTATCGGATATCCGATACACAAATGATTCCTAACCGTAACCGAATCCGAAATAAAAGTTTCGGATAATACCAGATAGAGGCGGAGCCTAATTGTGACACGTTATGTAACCATTTTATTAGCTATTTGTATTTTACTTATGAAATTCCTTAAGAAAACAATGTCCGAACCGAAATTTTTCAAACAATTTCATATGCGCATCCGTATCCGTATCCGGTATAATAAATCCTATATCCGAAACCTATCCGTATTCGAAATTTTATATCCATTACATCCCTGATATTATTATTATTGTAAACATGCACATGCATTTTTAATTTTACTTTTTAAACTAGTATTACCGTGACTTCATACGCGTGTATATTTGTTGAGCGACATCTGTTGACGATGGTCAAACAACAACAGTAAATACTGCAGAACGCCATCTATTATTTGATTAATGAATTAATAAAATTGTAAGTAATGTTTTGGAAATTTTATATTATTACCTATAAATATTAATTGATTGTTAATACACCCACCAAGGAGGCTATTGTATCCAATTTATATTAGTTTATATGTTGACCATATTTTACAATATATTCAGTGATTTCATTCTAATTCCTCCAGCCATTTCTTACAAGAAATCTTGACACACAAACAGACAATTTGTCATGTTGTTTCCTCGTCATTGATATTTCGATTTTATTATATGTAAACATGCAACTATTGTCTTTTTTAATTTCAAATGACTATTTTGAATAGAGGCAAAGAACAAATTATCTATTTTCTTTAATCGATATGACAACTATAAAAATAAAAATTTAATATTACATTATATCGAAGAGATAATGTAACATTTAATATCATCACTTGATTCCCAACCACGTGGGTTTATTGTCTATTCTTTTTTTTCTCATTCATCATGCCACAAGATATATTGTAATAGATCAATAAAAAAAATATTTCTATGTAAACAAATTCATTGTTAAAACTATAAATTTTATATAACAATAACAAGAAGATATTATTAATACAGTAAATTTGGTGTTAACATAAATAATTTTATTAACTAGCTACGCGCCCGGGTTTTGCACGGGTGTACATATATTATACATATAAAGGGGCTGTTCAAGTATTACGTAAGCAGATTTATCACAATTATTTACCCCCCATCCCCCGTTGTCAGCAAAAGTAAGCAAAGCTCTTACCCCCTCCACCCATGCTTACGTAAACATCTCTCAATTAATGTATTGTTTTTTTTAGCAAAGACAATGTGAGGGTTGCCATTCGTGTAAAAAAGTAAATTACGACCGATGACGTAATCATCATACAGACTCCCCCACCCCCATGTCATCCAAAATAAGCAAAGAAAAGACCCCCCCGCCCCCCTATAGTGCTTACGTAATACTTGAACGGCCCCAAATCTTTCTCTTGAATCATTGCTCTATCTATTGCTAAGAACTGCATAAAAATCCGTTGTGTAGTTTAAAATATCTAAAAGAAAAAACAGAGAAAGTGACTTCGTCTTGTACTATGTAAAGTTGAGGAGGTAAAATGGTTGAAGCAAAGAGGTAAATAAATACCTTTATTAAAATTATTCGTGTTAACATCCGATTGACAATTGATTAATCTGTACTAAACACATAAGTTTTAAAAATAAGTATAACAAAAAGCAATTTCAATTCATATCATAATTACAATAATTAGCTTATTCATAATTTCTCAATGATTATAATATAACTTAGTTTACGTAAATAGATTTAGCATTAAGTTACATCTGAAAATAGCGTCGTGTTCACTTATTCTTTATTTGAGTATTATATCTTCTGGTACATAAGTGAGTTAACTACATAAAATCTGTTCGTTAGCCACAGATCTAGGTCTTCACTCCGCGGCGTCTGCGCGGGAAATATATATCTCCAGTGTTGCCAACACGACTAATACAAAATTTGCTGAAATGTTATTTTTTTTTGCCCAAAGTTACACTATTTGTTATAAAAATAATGCTACAGAAATATGTTAAAAAATTTTGGATGTCAAATAAAACGTCATGTAATTTTAAATCAAGATTTATCACAAAAACTAAATTTATTTTACGTTTTATTAAATTATGTTATCGAAGAATATAAATATCTCGGGCTTCATCGGCACTTGA